TAAAATAAATTCAGTTAATTCAAGTAAAAGAATGTTTTCTGAGACAAAATTTGACGCAGAATTTGATTCTGGAAAGATTCTGTCAATGGCGCATGCTAAATTTTTCCGCTTGATCAATTTTGCCGTCTTATTCCATTGTATGAAAAATAACAATATCGTCTACTTCTTTGCTTGGTGTTGCGAAATACCATATTTATAGCATCATCGATACCCAGTATTAAATGCGCACAACATTTTAGAATTTTTTTCTCCTTAACACCTAAGTTTTTTAACAGTATGCTACAGTTTCAGAAATGGTCTGACATCAAAAAATTTATAGCACCTTTTACATCATCCGCATTAGAGTCTGCCATAACTGCAAGACACTTCAGCTTGAACTCGTAGGCTACCACACGTTCAGATTCTGAATGAGAAGTAGTCTCAATATAGCCCGTGATCAATGTTCTCTGCTCTCTATCTGGACTACTGATTGTAATGTAGTCCACTTTGATATCGTACAACTTGTGACCGGGAACATCACTAGTCTTTATTGAGAAAATAACTTTGCGACTATGTTAATTTTCATTTTATCCGAGTCTTACTCAGAATTACTCAATTCTTTATTAGTTTATTAGCCAGTTTGGAGTGATTGTCCATTTTTGACCAAAGAAGATGTTAGCAGTTTTTACGATAACACCAGTTACGTCACCGCGACTGATTTGTAATTGCATAAGCACTGCATTATGCATCTAAAAACATTTACGACTAGTTCTTACCGTAATCTTTGGAACATGTCTCCTAGACTAGTAGTGTTATTTCTCGAACTTGAAGACGGTATTTCTGACATGATTGGAAGTGCGACAGCGAAGACTTGATCTTGGTCTTCCAATATGGTTCCTTAAACATCTTTGTATTATTTTTTACCCATATATTGCAGACTTATGAATGCTTTTTTTAGCTTACTGGTTTCCTCACTAGTATTTCACTTTTTCTCATTTGATTGATGCCTTTCCTCAATTCTTTTTACCTATTTTCTTTACTTCTATAAAACTGTAAACTTGTCAAACTGTCGTTTCTCTTCACCTAATTTCTCTAATTCCATGAAACTGTTAATATACAAGTTGCCTAGTAAGACCTGTTGCAACTATCATAATGAAACGCCTCGTCTTTATTATTTATTTTAAAACTGAAAGTCTCTTTCAATTACTGTTGATATGTCACATCATTTTTTCTGATGTCAAAGGTTGTCATACACATGTTGAAATTTTGAGCTTACGGTACCATTGACTTGTTTCCTTGAGTTTTTCTGTGATTTAACCAAAGTCATAAAAGCTTGGTAATCATTTCTTATCTTCTTGGCTGTGTTTTGTTGACTCTGCGGATAAACTCTATTTGATACGCAGCCGTCAGATCTACACCATATCTTTGCTAGTGTCATTATATGAAAAAACTTTAAAACCAGGTTTTACTAAACTTAAATGTATTGTCCGTTCAGTTAAATGAGCACCACTTTTCAACTTACATTTACCGATGAACATCATTTCTTTTTTGTACGCCACCCCCGCAATTTTTTAAGTTACATTTTAAGTTACATTATCGCTTCTCGTTTTCACTAAACTATCCGTTTTCTTAGGTAAGGTAGTTTGGTGTGCGTCGAGAGCTTGAATGAAATATTGGTGCTAAAAGAATGGACTTATATAGCAAAATGAAAGTGCAGCTGGTCACGTGGGCACTTCATTCGGCCATTTAGGTAAGTTATTTATACCAGACTAAACGTGCTTCTGGTTATATAAGCATCTTAGTGGTCATGTACGTGCACAGAAGGGAGCACGTCAACCTTTGCAATTACTTGCTAAGCTTTAATTATTTCCCATTTATTTTTGCAATTCTTTTGGACAGACAATCTTGTTGCAGACTTAAAAAAGTTTTTAACACTCAAGTTTCTGTTATATTTAAATCCAGCATACACGAAAACCTTTAGAATGGCATATTACACGCATATATTTGCTAATAAATATTTTTCATCAAAAATTGGCAACAATTTTGAAAAAAAGCAAACTTTTAACCAAAATTGCTGTTGCAGGCCAAGATTTCTTTCAGATTTAAATTCAGCGTCACATTTCGACTTAGGAGCAGCTCGTTAAAGGAAAACATTCTGAAAACTTTGCATTGTTTGGTTGCGGGGCAGTATGATCTGCAACGTTTAACAATACTTCATTAAGCTGTTGGGTTTGTTCCACCTTTTTTTAATCGCTACACCTCTACAGCTCAATACGATTTTTATATTTTTCAATAAAAAGCTTCGAATGAATTTAAAAAAAAAATTTAATTAAACATTTCGTCATATTTATAATAAATTATTAACAATATATAATTTTTTGAGTTAAATTGTGACAGGATTAGGCAAAAGACAAAAGTCTTATCATCCAGCCTCTTATTATCATTTACATATATTAAACAAAAAATAATCCATCATATAAAAAAAAAAAAATTATTTATAGGTTCATGTTTTAAGATAAGGTTTAAATAAAACAAAATTTAAGATAAGGTTAAAGATATAAGATTTTGTGTGGATTTTTTATGGATAAAAGATTTTGCATGGTTAGCGTATTTAAGTTGAAATTTTTAAAAGCCTGAAAAGTTGCATTTGTTTGTGATGATTCAATGATGCATCATGTCGAAAATAATTTACAGTAAAAATTTTAATATGCGCCGGTTACTTTTACTCTATTTTTTTTTTTTTTTTTTTTTTTTTTTTTCCAGTTTACAAAGTTAGTCGTTTTACAATAAAATAAACAATTAAATTTCTTTACAAATATATATATATACAAAGCGTGATAACAGTGTAAACTAGGTTTCCGAAAAAAAACCACTAAGATCTTATAATTGGAACCTTAAAAGTATTAATAAACATATTAAATTATGAATACCTTATAAAGTATACGTTACAATGAAGTAGAATATATACAAAACATTTTACATAAGCTAAACTTTAAACCATATAAGCAACATATATAAATATAAAAACAATTTAAATAGTTGTAAACAATAAAACTTTATAGAAAAATTAAAAAAATCCAAAAAAAAGTCAAATAATAGAAAAATTAATTAGTAGTACTCTAAAATTTTATCGAAGGAAAAAATTAGATTTTTTATTTTGTTTTTAAAAAGACAAAAAGAATTTGGTCAATCAAAATCAACATTTAGTGAAACATGTTTATTTCATAGGTGCGGTGCGCGATAGGCAAGACAAAATTCATTAAAATTTGTTTTGACAAAAAGGTTCCTTAAATTTTTTTTTTTAAGATTGAATTTGTTGCTGGGTTTTCTGGCAGCGATAAAGACGATGTAATTTACTTTTTTTAGTACTTCTCTAGGCAGTATTAGCGCAGTTGATGTAGCAGTGAATAAATGAGAAATAAAGTTGTCTTACGTTTTTCTTTTTGAGATAAGTTTGAGCTTTGTATAGAACTCCAATTTTTTTAGAGACTTTAGTGCATACATAATTATTATGTTGATTCCAATTAATGTTCTCATCGAGATAAAGACGTAAAAATTTAATAACGGAGTCTCTTTTTATTTCAATTTCATCAATAAGGATTTGAGACAAGCTTAAGGGTAAAAAAAATTTTTTCCAAGTGAAAGAAAGAGAGTCCGTTTAGTTTTGTCAGTATATAATGTTAATTTATTGGATTTGAACCAGTGGGATAAAAGTTTAAGTTCTTTATTCACTGTGGCAAAAAGTTCGCTAATATCACTATTAAAAATATATAAATTAGTATCATCAGCAAACATGATGCTCATCATACTAGTTGCTTTATTTAGATCGTTTGCATAAATTAAAAAAAGGAGGCTCAGAGGATTGAACCTTGTGAAACTCCGCAGGTTATACTTGAACTATTGTTGTGATAGTTGCATTACCAACAACTAATTGTTTTTTAATTGTTAGGTAACTTCTGAACCACCTTAACGCTTAGTTATTTACTCCATAGTATTTTAGTTTTGCGAATAGGATGTGATAGTTAACCGTATCGAAGGCCTTTGATAGGTCGAAAAAGATTCCTAATGTATATTTTCATTCTTCGAAAGATTTTGAAACTACAATTACAAATTGGATAATTGCATGCTCTGTTGAGCTATCCTTTTTAAAATCAAATTGATTAACATAGAATAGGTTATTTTTGTCAAGGTGTATATTGATGGTTAAGAGCACAAAGGGAATACGTCCACTAACCATTGCTTTGAGATATCTGAATTTGAAAGTTTGAAAACATACAATAATTCATGATATTTATTTATTGTCATGATTTTTAACCAAATGCATTTAATTAATTCTGGCTTGTTTTTTACTATTTTATTTTCATTTCTTTTATATACTTTAATACAATATGCGTGCAATAACTCTGTAAAAATAAAATCCGTAAAATGTTGGATATATTCCCTTTGTGCTCTTAACGATTGATATATATTGTGTTCTACGTAATTCTTTCTAGGATTTTGAAAATACAGAGAGAACAGGGGGCGTTAATTCATTGATAACTGCCTATCAATTAATATAATTATTTTTGATTTCGGAATAAATTTAATTAAGTGCTGAACTCGAGTAAAGTAGATTTAAATTTTGAAAGGGTTTTTAAATTATAGAAGCCTACTTTGCATTGTTTTTCTCTGTTTGAAACAAATCTTCTTAAGAGCTTTTTAAAGCTAATCTTAGAAATGAATGAATCCAACTTTAATGTACTTTTCTTTGATTTTAAACTTTACGTCGAACAAATTTCATTTGAAGCTTGAAAATAATATCTAGAAGGGAGGAAAGTAGATAAAAACAAATAAATATTTTAATATAAAGGCAAACAAATTAAACTTATTAATACGCTGTTTCCTAATTTTTTTTTTAATATAAGTTTTTATAGAATATAAGTAAAGTTTAGTTTTAATTTATTTAAACTAAAAACTTTGTTCTACAACCTAAGTTCTATAAAGTATTTTTTTAGAGAATTGTTTCTAAATTTTTATTTTAGATTTCTTTACCATTAAATAATTTGGGGTGCTGGAAAGATGAATTAAACTCTGCTATGACAACACTCGAAGGATCATCAACAATACTCGATGGCTTCTACAGAAATCGTGCAGATGCTATTAAAAAATGTTATGAGGCTGCCAAAGAACGAGGGTTCACAATATTTGATGTTCGTGATGGAGGTTATTGCTCTGCTTGCAATGATGGCGCGTACAGAAAAGGTGGTTTATCGAATCTCTGTAATGAGAATGGAAAAGGAAACGTAATGTCAAACCAGGCATACATAATTACTGAAAAACTGTTATATAAGTATGCAGGTTGTTGGAAAGATAGTTCTTCCAGAGCTTTAACACTTTTAGAAGGTTCAACTGCAGTTCTTGATAATTTTTATCAGTACCGCGTTAAAGCTATTGCGAAATGTTATATTGCAGCAACTGAACGCAACTATGAACTTTTTGCTGTTCAACACGATGGCCAATGCTTTGCAGGAAATGGCGTTTCTTACCAAAAGTATGGAATTGCAAACAATTGCAATAGAAATGGTGAGGGTGGTGGTTATGCTAATGCTGTTTACATAGTTAACTTTGATTAATATTAAGCATATCACAACAATTTCGTTACCATTTCCCTGATGTTGTTTTTATGATGTTTCCCTGTTATCATTTCCCTGATGTTATTTTTTATGCATTTTGTTAAAACCAAATAAAATGGATTAAAATGACTAAATACTTTTATTCAAAAGGGAAAACAGTTTATAAGTATATAAATGAGATTTTGTGTAACAGGCAAGACTAACAGAGTTATCTCATCATAAAGGCTTATCAACAGGTTTATTAACAGAGCGCTATATTGTAGTAGAAGAGATTTTGGCTTTGGCAATTAATCCCGTTACCTAAATAATTTTAGTTTTTTTGACTAAAATATTATCTGTTAAAGCCGTTTTTCTTAAAAATGAAACAAAAGTATCAAAAGAAATAAGAAGACCATGGATTTATAAACTGATAGTTACGATGAAGTAAAATAAGTCAAAGGCTTAACAGTATAAATTTGAAAATTTATACTGTTAAGTAAAATTTTTCATATTAAAAGTGTTGAACATTATACGTCAGTATGTTACAATACAAGCTGATCAATACAGCCTGTATATACCCGAGAAAACTGACAAAAAAATACCAGAATAGCAGTTTCTCAAAAACTGTAAAGTCTTCTTATTATTTGGTGCGTGTAAAGTGGAAAAGGTTTAAATAAATGTGAATAATGATAATGAATAATGTCAGTAGTTATTTAAATTAGTTTCTAAATCATTATATTTAAGATTAACTTAATCTATTTACATTGCTTTTTAGTCGATGTAGTGCTTTTGATGATTTTATTATATTGATCTATTTTAAAAGAAACAAGATAAACCAACATCTGCGTGTAATAAACACCGCTTTAGTTTAATTTTAAACTGATTAAGCGAAATAATTTTCTCGGAAACAATGTTTGGAAATATTTTTCTCAAAAACGGTGCGCGATTTTGTATAGAATAAGATCTCAGTTTTGAATAAGGTTTTGGCACAACGAAATTGTTTATGGAAAATCTTTGAGAATACTTATGTGTATTTCTTCAAAATAAGTTTCAAAATATTTTAGAGACACTCCATATTTTGTTTTATACATGAACTATAAAACTATATGGATTTTAAGTTTGAGAATATCTAAGGTACCAAGTCTTCGTTAAAGAGGTTTACAAGGAACAGCTTTACAAGTTCCAAATGCAACTCTAAAGGCATGTTTTAGCTTGCTCTACAGTTTATTTAAATTAGTATGATTAGTACTTGCCCTTAGTTAATTTAATAAGTTTGATGTTAAAGGTAAATCATTATTGTATAGTAAAAAAAGTAAAGGTTATATAGAACCCTGTAGAACTACACCAGTTATAGCATTTTTGGTTGTTTCAATATTATTGCATTGTACATATTGTTTTCTGTTCGATAAGAAATTTTCAAACCCGTCTAAGTTTGAATCTTTTATTCCCTAATGTTCCTTTTTTTTTTATTAGAATGTAATGATTTACGATGTCAAAAGCTTTGGACAGATTAATGAAAACTGCAAATGTAAAAAATTTTGTTCTTGTTTTATTTTGAAACCAAATTGCTTATTGTACAACATATCACTTCAGTTAAATAATTATACAGTGTATTGTACATTAAACGTTCAAGCATTTTAAAAAAACTCTAAAAGACAGAAATAGACCTGTAATTTTAGGGGTCTGACTCATCTCCAATCTTAAAAATTGAAATAAATTGTTCAATTTTTAAATCATACGGGACTTTACCTGATTTAAAAGCAAATTTGAAAATATGAAATAAGGATGGTTCAATTATATCATAAACTAGTTTTAATATATTGACACTAACTTTATCTGATCTTGCTATTTTGTTGTTGTTTTTTTAAACTTTAAGGCAGATCGCAACTCAAGTATTTCTAGCTTTTGATTCTTTCATTTTTTTATTAGAAGTTGTTGGATAAAAATTAAATGTTGGTAAAATTTAAGAATATTTTGTGCCAAATTAGAGTTAACATTAATCAAAAAGCTATTTATTTTTTCAGCAATAAGTACTTTATCACAGTTTAAATTACCGTAAATTCCCAATAAGAAAAAATACATTGGAACAACGTTGTTTCAACGTCTGCCATATCATCGGAAAGATGTTGGTATGAAATGAAACTGCGGAAAAATCTTATTTTGCTAACGTTATTGCAACAATCTAAAAATAAAAATGCAATATCGTTAAATTTGAGCTAAATGACGTTGGATAGGCATAAGAGCAACGTTAAACTTTAAGAAAAAAGACAGTATCAAGATCATTAGGCAAACGATATATTTTGAGTTAAATGACGTTGAGACAATGTATTTTCTATCGTCGTATAGACGTTGGAATAATGGCAGAAATGAAACTTAGGCCAACGTTATTTTGATGTTGGCCAAACGTTGTAATAAAAACTTTTTGCAGCGTTTTTATAACATTTTTATGGTTATTTCGTCACGGCATAGATCAAAAAATCACAATTTTACACTAAATAATATTTTGTTGTAATGTTCTTTATTTTTTTATTTATTAAAAACTTTTTGCAGCGTTTTTATAACATTTTTATGGTTATTTCGTCACGGCATAGATCAAAAAATCACAATTTTACACTAAATAATATTTTGTTGTAATGTTCTTTATTTTTTTATTTATTGAGGTCATATACGGAATTATTTTAATCCAGACAATTAATAAAATACGGAAATAAACAGGTTAAAAAAAACAATTCTTTTATTTCAAAGTTTTTAAATTACATACAACATTTAGTGTGAAACCAGTTTGTTTTTTATTTTCATTCAAAATATCAATCATATTTCAAATAATTTGAGTATTACTTATTTGAGACTAAAATTGAAATTATATGAAAAAACAAAATGTTGCAAACAAATTCAATTATGATAAATTTCAAGAATAGAATAATATTAATAATAGAAAAAAATTCAAAATGAACAAATAGTAACACCACAAAACCAGAAAAGGCAGACCTTATACATTTACTATTAAATATATGCCATAGCTAAAATTCACATCATCGTCTTGATACATACTTTTAATACTTATAGCTAGATGTCAAAACCAAGATAAATGTAGTCACATTATTTTTCAGTATTTACCTGATTAGGTTTTTTAAAATTTGGAACTTTTTAGTAAGTTCCTATGCCTGTGTTGCTGCATCAAACAACCAAATTATTCAATAAAATATGTGCAACATAAATGTATAACTGGCTACTGAACTATAGTTCATATATATACATATATATATATATATATATATATATATATATATATATATATATATATATATATATATATATATATATATATATATATATATATATATACATATATATATATATATATATATATATATATATATATATATATATAGAAAAACTTAAAGAATCAAAATTTAAGGAAAGTGTTTTAAGGAAATACATACGAGGCAAGATGGAATCACATGGATATCTACTATCATATTACGTTTTTAAAAATCGCTGTCTTTTATTAAGTTGTGAGAGATAAGTTTTAACTTTAATAGCACTACTAGATTTGGGATCTTCATTTAAAACTCTCGTTGGGCCAATTTGTTTGCTAATTTTTTCCAAAGCTCAATTGCGTTCGATTCTTAAAAAACCATTACATTATAAATTGGATATATATCGATAATTTTGTTATCCTTAATTTCCATAAAAGCTTATTTTGTTCTCTCGCTAAATTTTGATTTATTTTTTTTACCCCTTATAAGTTCTTTTAAAACTTTTTTTCTCAAACTCATTTTCTCAAATCCTGAACGTTTTCAATTTTGTTGCTATATTCTAACTTTAAAGCCGTGGTCTCTGTTGTTGCAATAATATCCATATAAGGTATATGATAGTGAGCTACTACTGTCGAAGCGTAAAGGGTTTAGGAATAAGTTACCTCACGGAACCTAATGAATACGTTAATAGCTTTCATAGATTTCACGAAGGATTTTTAACATCTCAAGAAGCTTTTTACACTAAATTATCAAAAGATGGCATTAAGATTGAAAATTATAAGCACGCGAAAAATGTTTGGAAAACCTTTAACTGTAAAACACTCGGCAACTACCACGATGTTTATCTTAAACGGATGTAACGGATGCTCTTAGCAGATATTTTTGAAAAGTTTAGAAAAACAAGTATGACTTATTTTGGTCTAGACCCAGCTCGCTATTTTAGCGCGTATATCTTGGGATTCGCTGTTAAATAAGACTGCAGTGCGGCCTAAGCTACTTACTGATATTGACATGCACCGCTTTATGGAAAAAAGGACTACGTGGCAGGATTGGTATGGTTCCAAAACGTTTTGTAAAGGCTGAATAAACCTGGTTGTTGAGAGTATAATGAGACCAAACCAAATTTCCATAAAATGTATTTGGATGCAAATAATTTATAAGGCTGGGTAATGATACAGTTTCTTCCAGGTCGGGGCTTCCAATGGTGCAAGTTTTCGCTTGATGAAGTGCTGGATGACGCTCCAGATGGTTTTGTAGTAAAGTTTGATATTGAGTATTCAAAAGAATTATACAATTTACATAATGATTATCCTCTTGCTCCAGAGTAAATTATGGTTGAAGAAAGGTGCCTAAGTGAATACCAGAAACAAATGGTGTAAAAGCTTAAAGAAAAAATTTTTATAAATGTGAAATGCTTGTTCCTAATCTACAAAATGAAAAAAAATATTTTGTTTATTATTGTTATCTTAAACTATACCAATCACTCGGAAAGCGGTTTACAAAAATCCATAGAGCTATAAAGTTTAGACAGGGAGGCTGGATAGCTCACTATATTCAGATGAATACAGATTTAAGAGCTAAAGATACAACAGTTTTTTAAAAATACTTCTTCAAATTCATGAACAATAGTGTGTTTGGAAAAACCACGAAGAACCTACGAGAGCGTATACGTGTTGACCTTGTCCATTGAAATAAAGAAGATTGACTACGGAAAATTAATAAATTAAAAGACAATGAAATGGCACCATTACTTTCTTCCAATACTGATAGTTTAATATTCCGAGCGGAAACTAAAGAAATTTACAAAGACATGAAAGAAAATAAAGATTGTTACAATTTTAGTGATTGTCTATAAGACCAACCATGTTTTGGTGAGACTAATAAAAAGGTTTTCGGCAAATTCAAAGAGGATTTTAATAGCCGCCTCATTCGAAAATTTATCGGATTAAGACCTAAAATATACTCCGTTCTAGAAGCTGGTAAAGAAAACAAAAAGATAGCAAACGGAGTCTGCAAAGCTTTTGTTAAAAAAGATTTCAAGCACTACTTGATTCTAGGAGTTTTAGGTTCAATTTCAAAAAACTTGAGGTTGTTCATTATGTTCTATTAATATGTACGAGCTGAAATGTGTTGAAAACAAAATAGAAATGTTCCTTCCGAGTCCAAAACTGATGTTTTCTGAAATCCAGAAATTAGCGTTTAAAAAGCAATATTATTTTTATTATTTAAGCTTACTTTTATTACAAAAATCATAGAAAGCAACGTGACATTCCATTTTTTTGTCTATAAAATGTGGTTAACTCAATATATAATAATACCTTTATTAGTTTCACTATTAAAGCTCTTAAAGTGGTTGATGATTTGTTTAGAAATATTGTAAAAAATTTTACAACTTTTTTATTTTATTTTGTAAAAGTT